ATACATATGTTGGTGGTGGCGAGAGCAAGCTCTCATTGACATTGGCTTTCAGTGCTACTATTCTCCATTGGTGTAATATTGGTGCAATGCTACTTTCTGAACACTGTGATACGATCTGGCTTTCAATGTGATTGTGCAATCTGAATATTGTCATCTCGCTTCTGTTCATTTTCCTTGCATAATTATTAAACTTATTAAAGAGATTTAGAATTGTAAGAGTTCACAATTTAATTTAATATCGTTTAAAAATTAAAAGTTAAAACATCAGCACCTGTCCCAGCCATTTTGTTCTGACGTGTCTGTATACAGCCGCAATTGTTGGGGGTTCGGCCTATTGGGGTTCCAGCAGGTGTTGCTCCCCACCAATAGATGGATCCTCTCCCTAGCACTAGAGGGAGCGAGTTAAAAAGCCAAAAAGAAAAAAAAGTGTGCAAGCCCCAGTTCATTTCCTTTTTGGCGCGTAGCACAAATCCGCCATGGAAGAGGTACTGGCGGTTTAATATTTGAGTGACGTCAGTCCCCTCTTCTTCTTCTTCTTCTTCTTCTTCTTCTTCTTCTTCTTCTTCCTTACCATTTCTCGATTTGTGCGTGTCATCCTTTCACAGGGGGCATGCCAATCTTCTCTGTATTGTTGCAATTTTAACGGTTGTCCCCGAAGGATCTCTCTGCCCTGATACTTGTTTGCTTTCTCTTCCTGACCCTATTCGTTTTCCGTGTCCCCTGTTTTCTGTTTTTTTTTTTGTTTTTTTGCAGACATTGGACATTGTTAACGAGTTCTCAGACTACTTCAGAGTTGTCGCATTGGCGGCCGGTTCCAACATCACTCTTCTTGCTGAGCAGGTCAGCCTCTCCTCTCCTCTCCTATCTGCTCTCCTCTGCTTGACATATGTGTAGGATGTCAAAAAGACAAAACTAGTCATAGCCCTGATATATTCACCGACAGTGAGCGAGCCCATTAACCAGCCGGGCGAGGCTGACCTGGATTCTGGTGTACGGGTGGATGCTGGCAACTTTGGAGGGTCGTGGATTCTGCGCGGATGCGGCTGCCTGCGGAGATCTCATCATGATGGATGTCGTGTGCTGCAAGTAAGTCCTTGCTGCAACGGTGCTGGGGTGGGCTGAATGCCACGACTGGTATGGCTTCAGTTTTGAACACCGGGTCACCGGTTCGATTCCGATCGGCTGTGGAACGATCATGGACGACAAGGATATATTCACTGACACCTCCTTCATGGGTGTCCCTTGCAGATAAAAACCTTGCGATCGATCCCTGTTATGTTTGGATAAGATGAGGAGATGATGAGGAATCGGTAGTCGAACGTGAGGTGCATCAATAGAAATACTGCTGGTATGGCGGAAGATGGAAGCGACTCAGCCATGACTTAAGTAGAAAACCTGATATTTGAGAAACATAATCGGGGCAAAAGCCGCGAAACATAGAAGCGGGCATCCCCTACATGGCGTTTTGGCCATAGCCAGCCCTTCGGCCTCTTCAAGGGCGAGTAACCTGCCAAGACATCATCATACCCTCCAAGCTCTCCTGGCCCTACAGGTGTATAGTGACCGTCTCGCTCAGATCAACACGTTTCAGTGGTACTCTGTACTTGGTCCTGTGGGTGCACGGGTTACTTCATTTTTTTTTTTTTTTTCTTTTTTTGTCGTGATTTTACCTCATTCTATGTCATGCATGGTACGACCTTACTGTTTTCTCCACAGTCCCCAGTTTGCCGATTGAAAAGTGATAAGTATCGGACCGACCGGTAACCCTCTATGTGGGCCTGCAGCACACACCTCTTCGCCCTCAAGGGCCAAAAGTGGACAACTTCCATCAAGTTCCATGCAGTCTCTGGAGCAACACTTGACGCATCTATTCACTACTCCAGATCTGGGATGGACTGATGTGTCTTGCATGGATGTAGGCACTTAATTTCCGACAGATACCTTCCCAACCTCACACCCCTTTTCCTCGCGAGTTCCGGAGTCCTTGGTTAAAAATTCTATCTGGGTAACCTTGCAGTCGGAGTTGGCCTTTCAATGTCAGCGATGCCATCTGGGCATAGCTGGCAATTGTTGTGCAGTTGACTATGCAGTGGAGCGTACTTGCTACTACTACTCTTCTTTGTCTGATGTCGGTGAACAACATAAAATCTTGCATCGTGCTATGTCCTAGAAAGCATTCCTTGCCCCAAGTGTTTTGCTCTCAACCAACACGTTTGGTCAGGGGCTGTTGCAGCACCCTTGTTGTGCAGTCCAATGTCCGTTACACCACGTAGAGGCTTGGGTGCAGTTGACTATGCAGGGAGCGTACTTGGCACTGCTACTCTTCATTGTCCTGATATTGGTGAATGACAGAAAATCTTGCATTGTGGGATATCCTACAAATCATTCATTGCCCCAGATCTGTCCGAAAGTGTTTTGCTCTCAGCCAACACGTTTGGACAGGGCCTGTTGTAGCACCCTTGTTGTGCAGTACGATGTGTGTTACACCACATGGAGGCGTGGGTGAGTGCGCAACCCTGCGCATACGAGCAGCCAGAGAGGGATGTTCACGTGGGGTACGCGGTTATGTGGTCGTTCTCTCTATCTCGCACTACATACACACATGCAGGGTTGGCGTGAGTAAAGCCGACCACTTTTCTCTTTGAGGGGTAGCGCTAACTCTAGGCAAAGTAGTGAATCCTTATTCATCAGTCAAATGCATGCTGAGCAAGTTTGCCGCTCGAAAGTTGCATGTTCTATGTTTTATATTTTATGTTTTGTGTCGCTGTTATGATCCTGGCTATTGCCAGGTGCAAATACACAAGGAAAGACAATGTCTTTCAATTGCAAAAGAAATTCGGAAAGAGAGAGAGACAAAGGAAGAAGAAGAAAGACGAAAGAAAGAAGAAGAAGAAGAAGAAGAAGAAGAAGAAGAAGAAGAAGAAGAAGAAGAAGAAGAAGATGTACACCATCAAAAGACCAATGACAAATCCCCCTTCGCTCATCACTCACTCTCCTCCTTATCTCCCCCAATCTTTTTTTTTTTTTTTTTAATAAAATAATAATAACAACAATGAATTGTCTGAATCAGAACCAATATCCGAATCTCCCTTACTGCCGGCAGTACTAGAGGAGAGGTCCACCATAGCCACAACCTTTTCATCTACAACCACCTCCGGTGGGTGGTGGCTATGGCGGACTACTGGGGTCCTGCCACAATTTTCAAACGACAACGCAAAAGCAGAGATGTCCTCTGTCACTCAGGCCTCCATGCCTGACTCTGCCCTGAAGCCTTCTTGATGCAGCGCAACCCCTACTGGGGCCTTCCAGGTGCAGCACCTGCCAAGGAGATGAAGATGACGTCCACGATAGCCAGGTAAGTGCCTCCACCACTCTCCTCCTCAACCCCTTTTTCCTCGTCCTCCTACCTGGTCCTGTCCACCATAGCTGAGGTGGAAGACCAGGCACTCCTCCTCCCAGCGCTCTACACTAGCGCTGCTCCGCCAAACGCTCCAGCAGCGTGACGCCTAAACTTGCACACAGCAAATGAGGAAGAGCAGTCACTCTTCCCTCAGATATACCGGCCAAGTTGCCTCTTGGGCGGTGACTTCTAGGCCGCGTGGCCTCCCAAGCAAAAGGTACCATCCTCCTTCCGGAGGGAAACATCATTGCAGGCCTCATATTGTCCGCTACAGGCCCTAGACTCAGACTACTGGACAGGTACCCTAGACCTAAGCCTACCGGACTCCTAAAATTCACTCGGCCTCTACAGGTACCAACTTTTTTGTCTTCTTCTGCTTGGCCTACCACTACTCAAGTGCTACCCTAAGCTACGCGGGCCTACACTACCGCTACTTCAGTGCTAGCCTACGCTACTTGAGTGTTCCCATGCTGCAAACGTCAAAGTTAAGCACGGGCCCTGAGGGCCTCCCAAACATACAAGTAGCCTGCACTCAGGCAGACATGCACTCAGACAGGCACATGGGAACCAGCAAGCACGCTCACACACAGACTTAAGAAACTCAGCAGAAAATGGGAATTTCAGCAAGGCACACATTCCAGCGGCAGAACTCAGAAATCAGCAGGGTTCTCAGTTTGTGTTTTTGCAGGTCATTACATCGCCGTGTTATAAGCTGCGGGTGATGTGATCAAAACAGGGGAGCATGTTTGCTAAAAATACAAGGGAGTTTGCTGACGAAAAGTTGCATGTGTGTATGTACGCGTGTTGCATGTGCAGATTCGGCAGTTTCAACCAAGCCTAGTTTCCGTCTCAAGGAGTGAGCTGATTCCAGAGTTGAGGGAAGCTATTGCTGATGTTGAGAATAAACCGGAGATCATGGCCGGTGCTGAAGGCTTATGCGCGGTAGGTGGAACGGCTGAATCTGTTCTTGCATTGCAGATGCTGCCTCTTTTTCTTGAGCGTTTTATTCTTCGTTCTCTGTGAAATGGAGTGCGTTAGTAGTCCTGTGAACAAACAGGAGTGACTTCTTGTCCTCAATTTATTTATAAACCTTGTTACAATCCTAGCAGATACAGTCAGGACCAGGGGGGGTTATATATATCAGCGTTCAAGTCGAAAAGCAAGTTGTCAAGCCTACCTTCTTCTTCTTCTTTTTTTTTCTTTTTCTGTGAACTGCTCCGATCTCTTCGTGGGGAACCTACCTTAAAAATCCAGAGTGTACGTTCTCTCATGTCCCATGTAAGAATGCATGCATACAAGACAGCAGCAGACGGTTGTACTTGCTAAGCAAAGCTCCCAGTGAGCCACCCGAAACTACCGTCTTCACCCGAACAGAACGCCTGGTCATTATCGCCGTATTTGGGTCAACTTTCAGTCCAGATGCAGCCATAATGACGGGGCGTTCTATTCGGGTGAAGACGGCAGTTCAAGCAAAGCTTCCAGTGTATGTGCACTCAGTGATCCACCCGAAAATAGTCCAAACAAAGCTCCCAGTTTATATGCACCCTTACAGGCCAAAGCTGAAGCCAAAGCCGAAGCTGCCACACATGTCCTATCTCTACCTCTATCTCTATCTCTATTTGTCCCAGTTTATGTCCTTCTATCTCGATCTCTATCTCTCTCTCTTTTTTTTTTTTTTTTTTTTTTTTCCCTTTCCCAAAGACAGTTGCAGTTTTATTATATAAAAATCCATGAGGCCGGGAATTCCTCGACATCTCAACCTGGACAGAGCTGGGGCCATTACCCAGATTTGGCTCGAGGTGGAAACCGGGTCCAGCGTCCCCTTATCTACAACTTCAACAAAAGGGAAACTGGACTAAGAAATGGCAAACAGAAATAAAGGAACAGCTAAGGTACTGAGTCCTTCGGGACAACTGTTAGAATTGGAACGATACAGAGAAGATTAGCATGGCCCCTGCGCAAGGGTGACACACATAAATCGAGAGATGGTCCAAATTATACAAAAAAAAAAAAAACCCAGCTAAGGTACTGAACCCCAGGAGGTAACGCTTCTCCTTAAACCCTAAAACCCTACGCCTATTGATGTTATTTTCCCCTTGCTTCCTGTCTCCTTAAACCCTAAACCCTACTGCTGTTGTTCTTCTTTCCCATTATCATCGCCGCTTCATCCTCTCCGTCTCCACTGAAATAGGAGGCGTGAGGCCTGAATAGTTGCTACTTTGCCGTTCTCCAGAATTCTGCAATCAAACCTGTCTTTCAATTCCTGTTCTTGGTCCGGTTGCTGTCTCATCTGCCTCTGCGCTCTTTTCCACTGTGCTCGGACGTTGGTTTCTAATCGGTTTAGGAGGACCTCCCCTGCTTTCTGCCTGTGCATCGTCCTCCTTTCTTTCCCAGAACCCTGCCCTCCCTCTGTTTCCTAGATACTACCCCGCCTTAAAATCTGAGGTTTCTCCAGGAAACAGGAAGTGTTGGGTTTTCCCTTGTAGGCCCTCTACTTTCTGTAGGAGCGCCCAAGCTCGGTTCTATGGAAGACTGAGACGGGGGGTACTTGATGGGTCTCCCATGGGGAGCTCCCGCTGCCCCTCCCGAAACCAATGAAAGACCAGCCGAGCTCCTTCGATAGTGGCTACTTTGCCCTGGGCCAGAGTCTTTTTCTGGAATTTTTCAGCTAGGCCCTTGGCCCGTTCTGGACTTAGTGATGCCTGCCTTTTGGCCTTCTGCCATTGGACTCTGACGTCCGTTTCCATGAGGTTGTAGAGCGCCACCTTAGCTTCTGCTCTGAACATTGGCGTCTGCCCGATCGCCTGTTGGCATCTTCCTTTCCAGGTAGTCCATAATGTTTACTCTCAACAGCTGGAAGAAGTGCTTTTCGTGGGGCTGCCAAGACTTTGGCACGTCGCCTCCTGTCAGTAACGTCCTCCTTTCTTGTGGGAAGGAAGCCGACGTAATGCGCAGCCACAGTATTTGAGCCTCATTCCATAGGTATTCCGCTTCGGGGCATTGTAGGAGGCCGTGCACCAGAGTTTTGAGTGTGCCGCCCGTGCACTGGGAGCAGGCTTGGTCCGCTACGTCTCTGTGGTGTCTACTACACCGGTCGTACAGCCACGTGTTGACTGGGAGTTCCACGTGAAGAATGATCCACTGCATACTCTTGATCTTACCTAACCTGATGGTGTGTAGTCGTGGCCAAGGCAATTGCTTGACTTGTTCACTCGGTATGTCAACCCTCTTCTTCCATCTCAACAACAGCGGATGGGCGAGCGGGAGTGAGCGCTTCCTCCGACGGTAGCCCAGCTTGGTGGTATAATGTAGGATGTTAATTCTCCTGGCGACTCGTAGCGTGCCTTCCCGGTGGCATCGGGAACTGAGACTGCGTACATGTCTGCACTCAACCATTCTTTGGTTGGTCTCACCGGCTGCCCGATACGGAAGGCTTGGAAGGGTTTGTTGCTTAAACTCCAGGTTGCCCAGTCGCCATTTCTCCATTGTTGCGGACTTCTCAACTAGTGTGTCCACTCATCCAGGATGGAGATGAGGATATCATTAAGGTTTTTGAGTACTCTGTGACTTCCCTTCATTTCTTCTCTCAGTTCCCTGCCTGTTTCCCATATGTGGTTATCTTCCGACCAAAGGTGTTTCACCTGCCAGATACTATGCTCGAGCCAGGTTCCCCACTTGGCGTCCTTCGCAGTTAGTGTTATGGGCTTTCCTCGTAAATCCTTCAACCAAGGCTTATGGCAGAGCTACACAAGGTGGTCCAAGCAACGGAGCTGGCCTTCTTGGAAAATAGAAGAGCAAGGGAGGAGGCACAAAAGTCAGAAGCGGAGGGAAGTTCGAAGGAAAGGGGGGACAATGGTGTGCAGGGAAGAAAGAACGGTTCAAGGAGTAAGGGAACGAGAGAGGAAGAGACGAAAGAAGATGACGAAGACAGAGTCACTGAAGGGGAAGGGAAGGGGGGAGAATCATCAGCTTCTTTTAAGAGGAAAATCAGTGACAGGGAATCAGTTAAAGGGGATAGCTCATACCAAGGACCTAAGCGGCCGCATTCAGGGAAGGGAACAGATGAAGCTTCCACACAGGGGGAACAGGAGCATAAGGAAGATATGGAGGAAGAAGGCAAGGGGGAACAAGGATCTCAAGGGGACGAAATGGAAATTACAGCCTCTTCGGATGACACGTCAGCATCAGCCTCAACGAACCACCAAACAGAACATGGGCCGAACTAGCTCTACAAACAGATCACCTTTCGGTGATACGGAAAACACAGCAGAGGACTCGGGGGGGGAGGAGGACGAAGGAGCAGGGAAAACGTCACAGGATTCTGATACAGATTTGGATGGGGACAGTGACAGGGGGGAGGGGGAATGGGAGGAGGAAGAAGGGGAGGAGGAAGAAGGGGGGGAGGAAGAAGGGGAGGAGGAAGAAGGGGAGGAGGATCCGGAGACACTAGCACAGTGGATTTAGCACGTTCACAAGCTGAAGTGGGAGAGACACATTGAATGTGAGATTTGTCTGGCACACCACAAACATTTGCGCAATTTGAAACAAGCCACAACAGCGGGGGATGGCATCACAACAGCTTGAAAGACTGAAGAATGAGATGGAGGTTAATGAGTTCTACGCTACGCAATATGGATGGAAGGCTAGGCTGGACAAGAATGACATCACGGTGCACAATTCGGGGTACGCCAAGCAGTTCATTTGCCAAAGTCTTACCAGCCACACGGTCTGAAGAGATCTGAACAGAAGCGAAGGACCCAACAGCGAGAAGCGGAGCAATTGGGAAGTAGTAACCAGGATTTGTCAGATTCCGCTCAGGGGTTAGGTGTGGATGAACAAATGGAAGAGGAAAAGAGGCAGGCAGCGATCTTCGAGGCACAAGTCGAGGTTCTCAGGGATCAAAACAGGGAATTGGAGGAAGACTATAAACTAGCAGAAAATAGTCTACACTCCACATGCAGACACCAATGCAGCGGCCAAATTGTATGCAAGACAAGATCCAGTTAAGAGAATCAATCTGCCCTACAGATGGAACAACGGCAACGCTGATTGGGAGGTGGCCATCCAAAGGTCTTTGGCACTAATCACAGCGAAGGACAGTCACTGCGAGCGGGATATATTGAAGGAACGTATCACAAAAGATTTGCCCTCGCAGGCGCACATCATTGGGGATCTCAAGCATAATAGGGAAGAATGGGAAGACGCAGCGGGTACAACACACATGGTAGACTACAGGCAAGTCATGATCAAGCTGCAGGAAAAGGCAGTACTGGCTGAGGGATTGATTTGGATGCCATGGCAAGTGGTGGAGACGATCCCGTATGGACTGCTCAGGGGTTCGGAGGCGGCAAAATGGGTGGCAAGGGGAGCGGCCATAGTGACCAAAAGTGATGTGTTTGCATCGCAGCCAGACTACATCGACGGAAAGATAAAGATCCTGGCTTCAACAGTGGACTGGATCCGGGTAGGATCCTGAGTATGAAATTTCGAAAAGGGTCAAAAAAGACATCATAGATTATGGAGGCGGGATTGAGAGCGGGAGTGTATAAACGTAGAAGGACAATGGATACTTCAAAACGTAGGCAGCTGGACCTTAGGGTCATGTCTTGGAACATCAATGGGATGGTACAAATTTTGGAAAACAAAGACAAGTGGGGCAACACAATGAGGTACTCAAACTGGTTTAGGAAGACACCTCCAAAATTCTTACACCTGCAGGAAACTCACCTTACGGATTCATCAGAGCATCAGAACATTCAACAACGTATAGTAAGACAACTAAGGTGAGTTAAGACAAGTTTTTGGGCGGTAGCGGGCAGGTCACATTCAGCAGGCGTAGTAGTTACTGTAGTTTTACTCAATAAAAGATCACAGGCTGCAGATAGAATAATAGTACAGGATGTCATTCTAGATGAAGACGAAGGTCGGTGGATGAAGCTCAA